TCGAATCCAAGGCAAACCATTCAACATCACAATAGTCCAAGTCTATGCCCCAACCACTGGTGCTGAAGAGGCTAGAGTTGACCAGTTCTATGAAGGCCTACAGCACCTTCTAGAATTAGCAACAAAAAATGATGTCCTTATCATCATGGGGGATTGGAATGCTAAAGTAGGAAGCCAAAAGATAACCGGAATAACAGGCAAGTTTGGCCTTGGAGTACAAAATGAAGCAGGGCACAGGCTGGTAGAATTTTGTCAAGAGAATACAATGGTCATAGCAAACACTCTTTTCCAACAACACAAGAGACGACTCTACACATGGACATCACCAGACGGTCAACACAGAAAGCAGATTGACTATGTGCTCTGCAGCCAAAGATGGAGAAGCTCTATACAGTCAGTAAAAACTAGACCAGGAGCTGACTGTGGCTCAGATCATGAGCTTCTGGTTGCAAAATTTAGGCTTAAGTTGAAGAAAGTAGGGAAAAGCACTAGGCCACTCAGGTATGACCTAAATCATATCCCTGATGAATATACAGTAGAGATGACAAATAGATTTCAGGAATTAGATCTGATAGACAGAGTGCCTGAAGAACTATGGATGGAGGTTCACAACATTGTACAAGAAGCAGCAACTAAAACCATCCCAAAGAAAAAGAAATGCAAGAAAGCAAAATGGCTGTCTGAGGAAGCTTTACAAATACCTGAGGAAAGAAGGGAAGTGAAAGGCAAGGGAGAAAGAGAAAGATACACCCAATTGAACACAGAATTCCAGAGAATAGCTAGAAGAGATAAGAATGCCTTCTTAAACCAACAGTGCAAAGAAATAGAAGAAAACAATAGAACAGGGAGGACCAGAGATCTCTTCAGGAAAACTGGAGATATGAAGGGAACATTTCGTGCAAAGATGGGCATGATAAAGGACCAAAATGGCAGGGACCTAACAGAGGCAGAAGAGATTAAGAAGAGGTGGCAAGATTACACAGAAGAACTATACAAGAAAGAGGTTAATGTCCCTGACAACCATGATGGGTGGTCACTGACCTCGAGCCAGACATCCTGGAATGTGAAGTCGAATGGGCCTTAGGAAGTCTGAGCAACAACAAAGCTAGTGGAGGCGACAGTATTCCAGCTGAGCTATTCAAAATCCTAAAAGACGATGCAGTAAAAGTGCTACACTCAATATGCCGGCAAATTTGGAAAACTCAACAGTGGCCACAGGATTGGAAAAGGTCAGTTTACATTCCGATCCCAAAGAAGGGCAATGCCAAAGTATGTTCAAACTACCACACCATTGCACTCATTTCACATGCTAGCAAACTGATGCTCAAAATCCTACAAGCTAGGCTCCAGCAGTATGTGGACCGAGCACTACCAGAAGTATAGGCAGGATTTCGAAGAGGGAGAGGAACTAGTGATCAAATTGCCAACATGGAGAAAGCTAGAGAGTTCCAGAAAAACATCTACTTCTGCTTCACTGACTATACTAAAGCCTTTGATTGTGTGGATCACAAGAAATTGTGGCAAGTTCTTAAAGAGATGGGAGTACCAGACCATCTTATTTGTCTCTTGAGAAACCTATATGTGGGTCAAGAAGCAACAGTGAGAACTGGACATGGAACCATTGATTGGTTCAAAATTGAGAAAGGAGTTTAGCAAGGCTGTATACTGTCGCCCTGTCATTTTAACTTACATGCAGAGCACATCATGAGAAAGGTGGAGCTAGATGAATCACCAGTTGGAATTAAGATTGCTGGGAGAAATAGCAACAACCTCAGATATGCAGATGATACCACTCTCATGGCAGAAAGTGAAGAGGAACTAAAGAGCCTCTTGATGCGGGTGAAGGAGGAGAGCGTAAAAGTTGGCTTGAAACTCAACATTAAGAAAACTAAGATCATGGCAGCCGGTCCTCTCACTTCCTGTGAAATAGATGGGAAAGAAATGGGGTAGTGACAGATTTTATTTTCCTGGGCTCCAAGATCACTGCAGACGGGGACTGCAGCCGAGAAATTAAAAGACACTTGCTCCTGGGGAGGAAAGCTATGGCAAATCTAGATAGCATACTAAAAAGCAGAGACATCACCCTGCCAACAAAAGTGTGTATAGTCAAGGCTATGTTTTTCCCAGTTGCAATGTATGGCTGTGAAAGTTGGACCATAAGGAAGGCTGAGCACCAAAGAATTGAGGCCTTTGAATTGTGGTGCTGGAGGAGACTCCTGCAAGTCCCTTGGATCGCAAGGTGATCAAACTGGTTAATCCTAGAGGAGATCAACCCTGACTGCTCTTTAGAAGGCCATATCCTGAAAATGAAACTCAAATACTTTGGCCACCTAATGAGAAGGAAGGACTCCCTGGAGAAGAGCCTAATGCTGGGAACAATAGATGGCAAAAGAAGAAGGGGACGGCAGAGGATGAGGTGGCTAGATGGAGTCACTGAAGCGGTTGGTGTGAGCTTAAGTGGACTCCGGGGGATGGTGGAGGACAGGAAGGCTTGGAGGAATGTTGTCCATGGGGTCACGATGGGTTGGACACGCCTTCACGACTAACAGCAACAACAACAAAAGAGGCTTTTGGCCTTTTGCAGTTTTTCCCATTTTAAAAGTTCCAAATGCCTCCACTGAGGCTTATTTACTGGCAGTAGGAGCTTGGAGCAAAACCATGCTGGTATGTTTTGCCATCTTTGGCCCCAGTCCTTCTGCCTTTGGCCATGCTCATCACTGGAATGAGAGCCTGAAAGCTTCTCCCTCTGGTTGAAAGAGGCTTCCCCCATCTGTGTTGGAGTTTCTCATTTCCATTAGAGTGGCAGAAGGTTGTGACTTCTTTCACTCAAATCCATTTATATTTTGGAAAAACATGAACACATTCATAGAAAAGCATGTACTCCACAGTGATTTTGTTAGGCAATATCACTCAGCAGATCATCAATTATTAAGCATCATATTAATAATAAATATGCATGAAATTTAGGCTATCTTTCAAGCATTCTATGGAGCCCAGAAATAAAGCCAAAGGCCACAATTAAGCAAGGTTGGATTAACCAACCCACCAATCCAGTAAGCGGTCATGTCAGCAATTACTGCTGTTAGTGGCCATATTCGACATGGCATTAATTATGCGAAAAGAGATGGTGTGTCTAGTTTTTGAAATGTTACTAGCAAGTATAGGAGCGGTTGAGTAGGGCCACAAGGAGTGTTAAACCTTCCCCCACATGCTGCTTAATGTCACCCACTCAGGCACTGTGAAGTTGCTATTAGCCTCACCAAGGAATTGTCACTAGCAGCCTCAGCTAGGAGGGTGCTTTCCAGTGGGATCATGGTATGGAGGAAAGGGTTAACCATCTTTCCTACACATCAGAGTCATAATCTGCCTCACCACACTCCACCCTACCCCTCGCAGAGGGTTTTTACAGTACAATTCATGCAATTAGGTTCATGTCCAGAATAAGTGTCCACCAGTCTCCCAACATTGCTATTTGTCAGTCGTGGTGGCCATAGGCTTGAATCACAGCTGGGCAAGTTGTGATCCTCCAGATGTTTTGGTATACAGCTCCAATGATCCTTACATTCATGTGTTTATGATTCTTTTCTTTTTTTAAGGAAAAGCAACGGAGAGCATCTACAAACAAGATTTAAAGATGAGAGAGAGGCTGCTCAACTCTTTCCTCTCTAGCCATATGCCTGCTAAAAATCCTTTTTCAGCGCTTTCTTACACACATGTAAAATATTCACAAACTTGCAAAGACATCCTGCTGCTGCAAGAATTTATCATTTATTCCTGTTCTCTGATTTCTGTTCTTAACCAATTACTGAATTATAAGAAGACCCCCCCTCCCCCCTCTTTATTTCATGACTGTTAAGATTGCTCAGGAGTCTTTGTTGTAGGATTTTGTCCAGGCATTTTGGAAGTGCAGATAAACAATAGCTGCCAGATCACCCTGACCAGTGACACTGTCACATAACATGTGAAGAACAGTGGGACATGTGTAGTCTTTTTCAGGACTTGTATACTGAGATGTGTAATTTTTATGTAATACTGCTTTTCACCAATATACTCAGAACAAACATTAAGCTACCAACCTGTAATTACTAGCATCCCTTTCAATCCTCTTTTAAAGCTGGATTGGCCACTCTTCGGTCCTTTAGTACAAAGGTCAAGTTTAGGAACATGTTGCATATTTTGTTAGTAGATTAACAGTTTCACATTTGATTTAAGATCGATACCATCTTGTACCCAGTGATTTGTTAACTTTCGGTTTCTCAGTAAGGTCTAGAGTGTCATCTCTTTCATTATTTGCAAGATCCCTTTTCTGAAAATATCAGTTTAGTCATGGGATTGCTCTGTATCTTCTGCAATGATAACCAATGAAAAGAACTCATTCAGATTCTCTACAATCTCCTTAATCCTCCCTTAGTATGCCTTTAACTTGGTTTTCATTATTATTATTTTTTTTTACTGTCATATATCTGCGATAGATGCACAGGCTCTGCTAGAAGAGATAGACAGGGAACAACAAAAAGGAATGGGTGCACCTTTCAGCAAAGCAAATTTAGGTCATTTGGTCTTAAATGCTTCCCAATCTTCAAAGTTGCCTGCCCATATTGTCCAATCTTCCATGACCCTGCAGTTTGTAAGTGAACAAGTTTGTTATTCAAGAAGGTTAGATTATCAATGAGGTTTATTCTGTCTAAAGGACACTAATTATATACTGAGATGTTGCAAAACAAGAAGAAATCTTTTATAAATGTCTACAGAACATGTGGCAATCCTGTGCACAGGGGAATTTCTCAGGCTCAGGCGACTGCAAAACATATTATCACTTGACAGTTAAAGAAATAAAAGAAAACCACAGCAGTTAACTAAGTCTAAACCCACACCCAGCTTTCCGAGTTGCTGCAACTGAGTTCCTCCACTGTTTGTGGTTTTGTTCTTAATTGTGTGATTGGCTGAAGCTTGAGAGAAACTAAAGGCAGATACATGGAGATGGTAAAAAGCCTAGTATAGTCGCAAATGGCTGTACATTTTCTATGCTTAGGAACAGCTTCATCTGAAAAAGAGAACAGATAGTCCTGTGTTATGGAACACAACTCCACTATAATTTTATTTACTGAATTCTGCGAGAGTGGGATCTAATAAAAAGAAGCAAATCAGAGACCGTTTCCTGCCTACGTGATTAATATTTTGAAGGTACGTGATTAATATTTTCCTAAACTTCTTTAACAATAGTTTATGTAGAACCTAAAATGAAATATTGCCATTCTTCAGAATTATTTTTTTTCATCTTTCTTCCTGGAAGAAGTTAACGGTCAGACTCTTGAGCATGAAATGATTTTTTAAGAAAGTCTGAGGAACTGAAACAAATATTGGTGACAAAAGATGTTCTCAACTCCATTTGACAATTAAAAATTAATAAATCACCAGGTCTAGAATTCGTAAAGAATTCAATTATGAAATTGCCAACCTTCTAACAAAAATATCCAAGATATCCCTAAGGGCAGCCTCTGTACCAGAGGACCAGAGAATGGCCAGTGTAAAGGGATCCAGGAGGGAGTCAGAAAAATTCAGGCCAATTAGTTTAACATCTGCTTCAGGTAAATTTGTTGAAAGCATTATTATCGCAAAGCATTGAGAGACATGTGGTGTAGTGGTTAAGAGCATGGGACTGGGACTCAGATGACCTGGGTTCGAGTCCCCGCTCACAGACGCTCAGCCCAACCTATCTCACAGGGTTGTTGTTGTGGGGATAAGATGGAGGAGGAGATGTAAGCTGCCTTGAGCCCTTTGTAGGAAAAGGGCAGGAAATAAATTATTAAAATTAATAAGCATATAGGAGGAGAAAGAATCAATGTAGCCTTTGCAATATTAAGTCCTGTCTCACTAACCTCAAAGTGTCACTAAATATATGGACAGGGCTTAGGGTTAGGATAGAAATAGTTTACTTGAACTTCCAAAATGTTTTTGACAAAGTCCCTTCCCAAAGACTCCTGAGCAAACTTAGCAGTCATGGGAAAAGGGTGGGTCCTCTTATGTATCAGTAACTCATTAAATAACAGAAAGTATAGAGTAAGGCTAAATGGTAAATTCTCCCAATGGAGCAATGTAAGCAATGGCGTTGCGTAGGGATCTGTACTGGGCCAGCGCTTTTCAGTTTATTCATAAATGATCTGGAATTGTAGCATGCAGTGAAGTGGCCAGCTTTGCTAACAATAGCAAATTATTTAGGGTGATTAAAACAAAAAGGAATTGAAAGATACTCCAATAGGATCCTTTCCAAATTGAGAGAATGGGTATCAAAATGGCAGATGTGATTCAATACAAGTAAGATTAAAGGAATATGCACTGGGCGAAAATAAATCCGAATTCCAAGCATACACTAATACAATCTGAGCTAGCAGTGATTGACCAAGCAAGATCACAGGACTGTGGTGGACAGCTCAATGAAAATGCTGACCCAGAATGCAACTGTTGTAAAAATGGCAAACTCTGTGTCAGGCATAATTTGGAAATACCTAAAACTCGTAACATCATATCTATGTGAAATCTCACTTTGAATACTGCGTATAGTTCTCTGTACCTCACCTAAAAGAGGGTACGATAGAATTGGAAAATGTATAGAAAGGGGCAACTAAAAATATCAAAATGCTGGAGCAAATCCCCTATAAAGAAAGATTGCAATACTTGGGATGGCTTAGCTTAGAAGAAAGACTAATAAGGGGAGACATGAGAGAGGCGTACAACATTATGCAAGGTCTGTGCTGATAGCTGTATGCCTATGTACATCAGTTGCTGGGGGATTTGGGCAGGTGGGTTCTGCTGCGTTCATGTCCTGCTTGTGGGTTTCCTATGTACTCCTGGTTGGCACTCTGCACACAGAATACTGGACTCAACAGACCCTTGGTCTGGCACAGTGTGGCTCTTCCTCTGCTCTGCTCAGCATCCCAACCAGCCATTCCTTCTTTCAGGACATTCTATTCCATTCACACACCACATTTCCTCCTCCTCCCCAGCTGACCCTCACCATTGTGACCACATGTTTGGCAGGGAGGGATCGTGTTGTCCTATGAGAGTTTCTTTTCCCTAAATATTTCTCTGCTTCTAAAAACCTTGGGTTCTCCATGTACTAATACCTACCACTTATTTCTCAGTACCCTCATGTTGACTGCGTAGCTGTTATAACTCAGCACCTGCATATCCTTATTAGTATGTAGTCAACATTAATTCAAGCTATGAGCAGGTAAATGCATAATGCAAAGTTAGACAATGTAGAATCTACTTGTAAAGTTTGAAAATGCTGGGCAAAATAAGCTGGGCACTAGTGGAAAGCCTGTCACTACACATACGGGATTATAAACTGACCAAATGACTTATTTACACCAAGGGTAATAACATTCAGAGAAGGATAAATGGGCTATTTATTCTAGCCCACTGAACAAACTTTCCTTATTTTTAATTGTAACAATCTAGCAAATTACAAAGCACAGTATATTTAAAGGAGACAGTCATGCAAGGGGTGTAGCATAACCTAACTGGGGCAAGGGAGTGGGGAGCGGCAGTAAGGAGAGAGTATTCTCATTTATCCAGTAGGGAGGCTTCTGTGTATTGTATATAGGCCAGCACTTTCAGTACAAAAAAGCCATTCAGAGTGGATGGGCATCACTGTTACAGTTGTAATTCATCTTTTTCCATGGTTTTACTTTTCATGGCTTGAGTTTTAGCTCAGTTTTGTAACACGGTTCAGAGTAGAAGAGATTAGTCTTTTAGTACTCTCCATCATTTCTGCACCAGTGTGAGTGATGCTATCTGTCTTGCTCCCATTATTGCAGTGGAAAAAACAGAGATTTAGGTAAGCTAGAGAGCTTCCAAATGACCTTTCTTTCATGTAAATTCTCTTTTTTAAAATGTGAGGGTGTGATTTGATTTTCCCCACATTAAAGTGCAATGTCTTGCAATTGTGTTAGCAGTTCATCCAGCTGCTGACCCTGCTTCTTCTACCCCGTGGGAATGAAAAATCATCTCTTTTTGATATTGTTTTGCATTATTTGCTCTATTTTTTTCTTACAGTATTGCCACTGTTTTCTGACAGAACAAATTTAATCCTCTTCCACCCAAAACATGTTTTCATGGAGTAATGTGGCCATCCCAGAAATTAGTTTGCTGATTTGGAGGAAGCAGAAGCCATCAAGTATGAAAAACAGTAGCAAAGCCCCATGATTCACCTGGAATAAAAAGGTCTAGAGCAGTGCCAAATACACGAGATTCATAATTCAGGCATTAATGTCCCCTTTACAACCATCAAATGCAACTCCTGATACATGTAATTGCTAAAAGATGGTCTCAATGATGCCACTGAATTTGCCTATTCACTCTATTATTGTCTTCCATCATATATGCCAATTACTCATTGATTTCACCTGTTGTGATTATTGCGGCTTCCCATCTTCCTCCTCCTCTTGTCAACTTTGTTAGAATTTAAAATAGCTTTTCATAGAAGAAGAGGGAAATCCAGCTTTGGCAGCTTTTACAAGTAATCTTTCACCTGACTGAAGGGCAATTAATATGTTCATACATGTCCTTAAATCTTGGCCCTTGCAGCCATTCAGATCAGTTATTTATTTGGGATCCTTGTGCTGAGGTTCCCGTAGCAGTTTACAATTTTGAAAAAAATGTCAAAGAAACTACTAAACAATTATAAACACAATTATTTCTGGTAATATGATGTATTCCATCTCTTGCAGTAATTCTAGTAATTCTAGAGAGGTAAGGAATGGTAGCATTACTACTTTTCTGATTTAATTGTCCATGAATTCTACAGAATTGTATTCTTATCATCATGATCCATTAGCCGTGGTAGAGCATACCCTATATTTTCAGCCTCCTACACTCCCTGTTATGCACCATGCTCAAAAGTAGAAATGAGAGGAGCTCTAATTCAGTCAGTCATTCTGAACATATATTTTGAAGCATTAAGATGTGATATAGAAAATCCATACAGAAAATAAAGTAGATGCCTTGCACCTAAGTCCCAATCACTGATTGCAAACAGTCAAATAGAAATTATTTATTATATATGCACTTTTATTTTGGCATGTTCCAAAGCCAACTCTTTGGATATTCCAAGAGTCTCCAATCTTTTTCAGCCATTGGCCAGATTTGGGATTTTAAGAGAATGCCATGAGTACTTTCAGAAAGTAGCTGCTGAGGTGCGGGAAGGCTTGTCTGTTTGCAAAATGGCATGTGTGATGTCCCAATATCCAGAAAGCAAACTGGTGACACTAAAAGTAACTTGCACATAAATATGAGCGGAGCCAGCTGGAGCCGGGGGTCAGACTAGATGGCCCAGGAAGCCCCTTCTGACTTGCTCTGTTTCTTTGTTTCTATATGCCTACAAGATTGTGGTGTGGGCTGAACCCCAAAACAAAACAAAAAATCTTTTGAATCCAATTTCTCCTCCAGCAACCTTTTCTCAAAATACAAACAGACAAAGATGTCCCCTACCATGCTCTTTTTTCCCATTTCTTTTCTAGGAATGCCTTGGGCAGCCACATGTGGGCTGGAAACATTCTTGAAAATAAAGGTGGGACTGGTGCTGGAGGCTTGCACTTTGTTTTGCAGTATGCCAGCCTCCCAATTTTTAAAACTTTTGAAAAATTAAATCAGAAAGGGCAGCAGACCTTGTGGGCCCCAAGGAACGTGTCCCCAGGGATATTGCCTGGTGTTCTGGCCTAGCAAAGCATGGGGAGGACAGCCAGAAAAGCTTTCCCTGCTTGAGTTCACTATGTTGGGAAGGAGTACTGATGAGCAGAGACTTGCAGTCTGCTTCCAGGCTCACCTGACTGGCCTCCTACTTTTGGCAGTGTTCCCCAGCATGCTGCTGTTTTGATCTTTGAGAGGACAACTCCCATCAGTCCCAGCCAGCATGACCAATTATCAAAAACACTAGGCATTAGGTTGAGTAAGACTGATTGGAGCATATATTCTCCGTTTGCATGCCTTCCCTTTTTATTGCCATCTTCCACTGTCCTGCAACTGGACCCTTTCTTAGCAAATGCCCCCATTCCCCCCCATCCCTATGTGCCCTTCCTCATCTACCAAATCTGATGAGCCTTTTTCTAGTTTGAAGTGGAACTAAGCAATAGAGCAGCCTATGATACTTGAAAGATTCAGTGCTTACAATGGTAATTTGTTTCCAAGCAAAGCATATCTGGATTGACACTAAAATTAATTTTGTAGTGACCAGGTGGCCTTTGAGAAGATAATGATTCTGTAATGAATACTGCAAGAAAAATTAAACCTTAAAGTGAAGTTGTTTATAAACTGTGTTGTCATTATAACAAGAAAAATACCAAAATATTGACAAAATAATACTGTTATGAGGGCCAACCAAAAAGTTACAAAATAATCAGTAAAAGTTTAGAGACTTCTTCAAGCTGGATGTTTTGTTAAATAAAAATAATAACTGTGGGGCTTGAACATAATAATTTTAGAAATGTAGAGAATAATTTCAAATTTGTTTATTTTTAACATAACACATGAGATGTGTGGTCTCTGGGTGCAAGGGGATCCGTATTATAAATGTGTAGTCCTGGTTCTAGTGCTCCCAGGATTGGTCTATGGCTAGGTGCACTATGAAGTTAGATATAAGAGACTATACTGTTAGGTAGTCTGCTAAGTAAAGCTGCAGTCACTACATTCATATTGTGGGAAAACATAATTAGCAACAAAGCAGAATCATCAATAAGGAAGTCTTATGGGATAATGCAGCAAGGATGAAAATCCAATAAATAAATACATTGTAAAGGTGTCCCGCAAAAATGTAAAATTATGAAGGAATGAATTGTTGTTGTAGTTTCTGAGTCTTCTTTGAAATGTAATTGGTAACAGACAGACATCCAGAGCCGTCCCGTTGAGATAGAAAAGCTTTTAATAAAGAAATAAACTATTTAAATATAGCCACAGAACAAGCTAAACTTGAGAATTATTAAGAAAAAATTACTATTATGGCACTGAGATTGCAGGTTGTTTCTATAGAAATATAAAAGAGAATATTGGCAGATTGCCTGAATCCCATTGCTAACTGAAAACATTCTTTCTTCTATTGATGACAAACATATATCATTTGTATGTAACTATTTACAGTAGTCCATCATTCAAGACACTGCAGAAATGCAGGCAGATAAATGCTGCTTTCTTTGCAATGTTGGATGTCTCCTATTCTCCCCTCCCGCTTTTGTTTCTTAATTGTCTAAATTCAATGCATTTACCATCTCAGCTTCACATGAAAAGAAAAATGTCTTTTCTTCGCATCCTTACAGATCTTTCCCATTCAAGCAACGCATTCTTGCCTTATATCTTAACAGAGAAGAAAAAAATGAAGTACAACAGGTATAGGAGACAGATACCAGTTGCAGGAATAAGTGCAACACACATTGTATAAACAGGTCTCAAGTAGGAGAATGCGCTATGATATCTTGGATTAGTAGTTCCAAAAGGTGTCACTTGTGGCCAAATTACAGTATTTTTCTGTCTATAAGATGCCCCCATGTATAGGATGCCCCCCACTTTTCCTACCTATCTCCAGCGAACAAGCTGCTGCCGCGCACGTGTGCCCCGCTTCGCCACCCCCCCCTGGCACCCCCCCCCCCCCCCCCCCCCAAGCACCCCCCCCCCCCCCCCCCCACCCCCCCCCCCCCCCCCCCCCGTGTCTAAGACGCACCTTCAATTTTAAGTTAATGTTTTTAAGAAAAAGTAGCATCTTATACACGGAAAAATACGGTAGTTTGGGCCTGCTTCACTGGTTTTTCAAATATAAATAACTAGTGAAGGGGCAGCCAGGTTGGGACTGTGATGGGAAGGAGTGGAGCTCACATCGCTGCTCCTGCCTCCACCCCAATCAGAATCTCTAATGGGACATTTCCTCCCACTGCAAACAGGAGGCACAGAGATGAGGCAGTTGTGACTAGGACAGTGGTGGGACCAAGCCATAAGGACTCCCTCCCTAGAAATATCACATCTAGTCTGATTCCTGGCTAATTACTTGGACTGTGGAAATTACTATGGCATTTACCAATGGCATTCATAACTGTGGCCTCTACAGCAGGACATCTGTGCTTGGTTTTACTGCTTTGTGATGCTGTCCCCTTAGATGTTTCTCGTCATATATTTTGTTATAGGACAGGCATCAGCACCTGACTGGGCCACTGCCAGGACCCCTTACAGATGAACTCACCCTTTCCCCCCTTAAAGCGAATTCTGCAGCACTACCCATCATTTCCCTTTCTTACAGTGCCCCGCGTGGCACTGCATTGGAGGCAACTCAAACGGTGGCTAGACGCAGCAGTTTCGCACGGCTCCTGCCTGCTGCTGCTGCTTGCCACAATCCTCTGCCCCCTGACACTGGTGAGCACACTAGTGCTTGCTGACACTCCTAGAGGGGTCTTCTCCCAGGGCCCCTGAAAAACTGCAGCCAGCCCTGCATTTTTACTAACCCAGACCTGCAGACCTGCAGAGCTGTGCCTGCACATAATCACTGTGTGGTGATCTCACCACAGAGTAATCCTGGGCGAGGCTAGTGGGGAGGTGGGTTCCATCTGTTCTGTTCCAGTGCCTTTGCAAATACTTCTTACCATCTGCAAGCAGACAAGGGCACCTCACAAAGCAGTTCTCTGAATAACCATGCACATCCGTTGTTGAATCTGGAGGACCCCAGCAGCCTTGCCGGAAGGCATTGTAAGGTGGCACAACGAGGACCCTCGGCTCAGCGCTAGGCCAGGGTGACCCTGGTGAACAGCTGGCAGTGCCTGACACTGGCCACAGCATCAGGGACCCACACCAGGCAGGGACCCACACCAGGCATTCCTGCAGGATGCTGTGCGAAAAGTCTCCACGCCTCTGTAACGGATCCCAGTAGCCTCCCAGGCTGCTCACACAACACATCCGCTTGTGCAGACAGACATACTGTAGCTCCATGGCAGCAAAAGTGCCTCTCCAACCAATATAGCCATTCCTATATCCACATCTATGCAAGGTAAACATGGCAGTTAGGGCCTTCCCCAGTATGGTCTTGCCTCAGCTGTACAAATCCTTGCAATCACAGTGGAATGTGCTTTGATCATTGTTCCCTTCCCTGGCCCCTTTTTTGCTGTTGAGACATCAAAGGATTGGTCCTTACATTTACAAATTAGGAATGATAATGGCAAAACAAGACACACATACAGCACAAACATATATACTGGTGTAAAGAGTGCTGCTGCTGTAGATTAGTGTGTGTATTACAACAAAACGGTAGGCGCATTTTATTTTTCGGCACCGAACAATATATTTTCTGCAGAAGATCTTAGTCGGTATGAAATCTTTCAGTAGAAACATCTGTGAACCCTTCACTGCCACTATATGATATTGTAAAAATAAGAGAGGGAGTGCAGTTCTGTGCATGCTTCTTCGGAAGTACATCCCATTTAACTCAAAGGAACTTTTTCCAGGTAAACAAGCACAGGACTGCAGTTTAAGAGCACAATCCTCTATATATTTACTCAGAAGTCCAACTGAATTCAGTGGGATAGGATTGCAACCAAAATTACTAAAGGATCACTCTGTTATGCTGAGCAAGCCAAATGCCACTTTATTTGGATTGGGTGGCATAATGTGACTTCAAAATATATATTTTACTTTTCTCAATTTGCATTTTGGGATGCCATATATTGGCAAATTTTATCACAATTTTACCACATTTTAAATCTCTGTCAAATTCCACTCACACTGTAAAAGTTATATGCTGTTTTGCAAACTAAAGAACGTATTTTGCATTCATTCACTATGTTGCATGCTCACATATATTCTCACTTTAAGTCAGTATTTCCTTTGATTTATTTTCCCAGGTTGCCTGGATATAACCTACCTCATTTTCTTGGTCATAAAGCAGCCAGCATTTCAGGTAGTTTTTTTTTTTTTTTTTTTTTTTTTTTTTATGCATTTTTTTTTTTTTTATCTTTCCTTTTTTTTTTTTTTTTAATTTTTTCTTTTTTTTTGTTTTTTTTTTTTTTTTTTTTTTGCATTATATACATGCATATTCTCTTTTTCTACATATCCATTTTGACAGCAATCTTATGACTTCAAGGGAGAGTGAGACCAATCAGAGGCTTCATCTTTTTCAGAGAACCCACTAGCAATTATGTATTAAAACTGGCCCCTGAAGAACCAAAACTCATAGGGCCACCTCTTGAAATAAAGTCATACACACACACATATATTTCAATATACTGAACCTTGTTTGTATATTGTATTTAAGAAGAGACTTGTGCAAGGGCTGTAAATTCAAAAATATTACAGTAAACGGTTTAGACAACATAATAATGCATACCGAAGGGCTAAGTTTGGGTTGGATGTGGGTTGCCATTGAACTAGGGGTTGTACTGAAGTAGGGGCGGCTTACAACAATAAATTACAATAAATATAAACATTAAAAATCCAAAAAATACAATATAAAAAGTATGAGTCATCATGTTCTCTGAACTCAACTGCACTAACAAACTATTTTATTTATTTATCGCATTTGTATAGCCCCATAGCCAGTTATGAATATGGCTTATTAACCACAAAGTATCCATGAAGAAAACCCAACTGGGTTCCTACTAAACAGTAACATACACTCAAGGGTTGAATGTGGGTTGTTGCTGAAACATGGGTTGCTGTTGAAATAGGTGTTATCATGCTGTCTGAACCAAGCTGAGATAACAAACCATAATGGTTTGTTATCTCAGCCCACATGAACTCAACCCACAGTTCATAAACTAGTCACAAACCATAGGTTCTCTTTATGGGTTCTGGTTAAAAAGGCATGGCTTGTTAGTGCACATGTGACCAGACTACATGATAGCCACATTGCAACAATAATGTATGGTTTAATGACAAACCATAGACAACCAAACACAACCCTTGAATATGGGTTATTGTGTCGTCATTGTGTGAAAACGCTTTGTGATTCCAGGGCTCTGAGGCTTTCTTTCTTTTTCTAAGGCAGGAACAGGTGAGTCTGCTCACTCTGCTGTAAGTTGCCCACCAGTAGCCCTTTTCCAGCAGCCACACTTGTTGAGAAATGAGCAGAAAGTTGTAAGCGTATTCATTTAAGAGAACCACATATTCTATCTAAATGACGGAATTCAAAAAACACATTTCCAGTTATATAGAGAGGGAAGTGGTGCACACAGACAAGTTACACTAATGCTCAGGATGCACATGCCCAGAATGGAGAAAAGGTACTGTGGGAGGGATGCAGAACAACGGGGGAGGAAAGTGAAGGGCAAGGAAATGACACCTGGGCACATTGTCACAGACCACCTACTTTACGTGGAAGGAAAATCCCATTACAGCCTCTGAGAAAAAGGAGTTTAGTGTGGATTGTGGGTTGCAAAATGACAGGGACTAAAATCCAGTACAGATACAGCCTAACTAAAAAGAAAGGTTTAGTGTAGAAAAGCCCACAGCTTACTGTTGTTTTAAGTTCATTTCAAGGATGAATAGGTTTCTTATTTTTTGATTTGGAATAATGGATTAAGTGGATTGATTTTATTTGTTTGTTTGTTTGTTGCTTTTAAATACCATCCCAAAACAGTTTAGAGAAAAGCAGTGCCATAAAATGTAGACATTGCTAATCAGAACATAACATCATATGACAATTTCATCATTAAAACAATAAATAAAAGCAATCACAAAAGAGTCATTGTAAATGGATTCACAATATTCGTAACTTATTTTACAATATTGTCCTGACTCTTTTTGTTTTATGATCTTTTTAGTGATATTTCTACCCTTATGAGAATTTGTATTACGGTCATTGTTACAAGTGTTTAATGTGTATTATTACACAAAACTTGGGTGTTTGGTTTTCATTATTAGTCATACAATTTTGTGAATATTGAGATTTAATACATATTACTGATATTAAGAGTACAATCTTGTACAGGTCTTCTGAGCTGACATGCCTATAGGACTGTGATGCAAATAATTCTTGAGTTTTACTTCAGATGAAGAGCACATTGCTTGAAATGTGTCAAGGATTGTTTTTGGACTGTAAATATTTCATAGCAGCACCTGCTCTATGTTAGTATATGAGTTACTTAAAGATCATCACTAGTTTGGATGATAACTTATGACATTATGTTTGGAAGATAACATGTTAAAATTTTTTGTCATATTTGGGGGCTCCTCTGAAATCTTGGCCCAATTTTATATCACATAAAAACTGCCTTTCCCAAAGTACCTCAGTGACTAAAAAAAGTCAGAAAGAACTTATTTTCAGAGTGTACAAGGGAACAGAAAGAAAGAAGCCAGAAAAGATGACAAAGAATTGTGAATAACTTGGGGAAAAATGAGGGAACTGCACCTCATTAGATGAAACATGTCTGCTATAATATAAAAACTTTCAGCATGTGGCGAAGCAGGTGAAGTTCATCCAGGTTATTAGTTCCTGAGAGGGCAAGTTTCTCCATAATAGGACAGGAAAAATGGCTTATATTTTGGGCATTGGACTTCCAAGTCAGAAAAAAGAAAAGAGAACATACATGCTGAAATCTACTGTTTCCAATGTAAAAATGTAAAATGGGACTAACATTGCAATCCTATGTACGTTTCAGCAGAAGAAAACCCAGTAATAGTAGTAGTAGAAGATTGCTTTTATATACCATCTTTCTTCCTTTTGCAAGGAACCTTTAGTGGCTTATAAGGTTCTCTTTCTCTCTATTTTATCCTTACAACAACCCTGTGAGTAGGTAAGGCTGAGAGTCCATGACTGGCCCGCAGTCTCCCAATGAGCTTCATGGTTGAGTGAGACTAGAATTCCCAGCTCCCAGTTTGACATTCTAACCACTGCAACCACACTGGCTCCAAATTCTGTCTGAACTTACATAGAATTGTGCTTCATTAAGCCTACAACCCCCTAAGCTTACACAAGATTGCATATAAACTCAAGCCTACAGAAATTGTAATTAATAACCACAATAAAGAACTTTTGTTCAGAGAAACAAACCCAATGCTTCTAAATTAAGCCAGTTATGAAAATTGCCAGCAAGGACATGAAGGCCGATCCAGGCATATTGCTCTAAGTGCCACATGGAATACTATCTGCTGGCAGGATACTCTGTGTGTTGAGTTCCTGGCTTCTAGGGGATAAGTTCATGCCAGGAAGCTAAGAAAAGTTTCTGGAGAAGCTAAGAAAAGCAGAGATGTCAGCCAATAAGTCCTTAAGGATCAAATGGCAGTGGGCCCATCTGCTAGGGTGTCATGAAAAATCCCAAGAATCCCAAGGAGACCCAAGAAAGGAGGACATCATTCTGAGGAAGAGGGAAATGATCCCTTAGAAGAAATCCATTCCTCAGAAGACAAGCAAATATCCTCTCACATTGAGGATGTGCCTGTGGGGTGCAGGGCTTGTGGTAGTGAAGGCTTCTGTCATTGAATACATAGCTGGATTTGTGCTGGGTATGTAGACCACATGGTAATTACCTGCCAGATACCACAAACCATCAGGATAGTATTGTAGGTAGTTCTGGAGTAGAGTCAGTGGTCATCATGGTCCTTGTTAATATTATATATTAATACATGAGATTGGAGAGTGAGAAATAAAATATACCTGTTATATCTGTTATAAAATAATATATTGGTATCAGTGAAAAGGGGAAACATAGTCATTAAGTCCTAGAAATTAGATTTAGGTTGCTAGGTAGAAGATTGAAATCCATGGCCACCAAGGTGGCTTTCTTGATATGCTGTGTGTTCCTTGTGGAGTGCCAGCTTGACAGGCAAAGCTGAGGAGTTTCAACCTATGGATAAGATGGTGGTGTAGAGATGAGGGGTGAGGGGTGAGGGTTTGCCAGGCACTGGGGAACATTTTGGACAAGCTAGGCCTGTACAGGAGGGACAGACTCCGCTTGAACCAAAATGGAACTGCTGGCACAAACCATTAAAAAGGCAGCAGAGCAGCTTTTAGACTAAAGTTGGGGTGGGGGGAGCTGACAGGAACTGGGAAGCATCCAATTTGGGTTTTATTTCAAAATAGGAACGTCTGGTAACTGGTTAAAGGAAGTTGAAAGGGGACATCAGTAGAGTTAAATTCATTCAAAATACTTGGAGATTATGCAAAACTACAATAATAGAAACTGAGACGGTATGTACACCACAAGTGAGGGGAGGCAGCACCAAGTCCAAGAGGTTACGATCATGGTTCATGAACAGTGTCAAGGAAGCAATTAGAGGGAATAAGGCTTCCTTGAAAAACTGGAAGTCTTGCCCAAATGAGGAAAACAAAACAGCCTGCACAAAGGAAATATAAGCAGATGAACTATTTGCATCTGTCCTCTGGGCCCAGCTAGTATCCATTCTAGTGTTCTTAAGGATCCCAAACATGAAATTGTTGGCCTTCTCACAAAAATATGTAACTTGTCCTTAAGATCAGCCTCTGTACCAGAGAACTAAAGAATCACCCATGTAGTTTTTTTTAAAAAAGGTATCCTGGGGAATCTGGAAAATTCCAAACGGCTTAGCTTAACATCTCTTCTGGGTAAATTAATTGAAAGTGTTATTAAAGATAAAATTAGTAAGCAGATTGAAGTACAAGCCCTGCTGAGATAGAATCAACATGTTTTCTGCGGCAGTGAGCCCTGTTTTACTAACTTCATATCAATAGACATGTGGTCAGGGGTGATCCAGTAAACTTCATTAATCTGAATTCCAAAAGGCTTTTGCAAAGTCCCTTGACAAAGACTCTTGAGTCATGGAATAAGAGAGGAAGGCCACTTAATGATCAAGAACTGGTTAAAAAACAGAAAGTAGGAAGGAATGGTAAATTTTCCAATGGAGAGAGGTAAACAGTGGAGTTCCATAGGGATCTGTGTTGGACTAATATGTTTCTGGAAGGAGAAGTGAGCAGTGAAGTGGTCA